ATATATATATATATATATATACATATACTGTACATACACTGTACATACGCAGCCTTCTCAATAACTTTTTGAGTAGGAGGCTGGAGTCATTTCCCAACATCAGCACAGATTTTCTGTGCAGTGAAAATGTTGATGAACGCAGACTGATCACTGACGAAAATGTCTTACCATCACAGGCATAGAAAGAGTTATGAAGTCATAATCAGCAGCAGCTGTCAATTAATTTTGTAGAGAGAGATAACATACATGTTCAAGAATCTAATAAAGAACTATTTCACAATTAATTTTTTTCTTTATCTTGCAGCAGTCCCAGCTGAATGCATGCAGCTCAGAAACTACTTTTTCTGTAAGCTTGTGAAATCTGATCGACATCAAAAGCATCAAATTATGTACAATTGAATAAGACAATTTTAACCCTTTAACTTTGTGATATTCATGTTCCTCAGGGGGAATCAACCACCTTATTTAACTGCTTAAAATACTATTTTTAAAACAATTTTCCACAAAAAATAGTCAGTCTTTTAGAGCCGTGTCAGCCTGAAATAAAAATTTCTAATTGAAATTATTTTGATTTTTTTTATTTTATTTTAATACTTGCTAAGCTTTTTTTCTTTCTTTCTTTTTTTTTTTTTTGGTTAACTCTACACTACAGATTAATTTTATTTATTTTTTGGGGGATAAAATATTTATTTCACAATAAAAACAAAAAGGGGTATTTTTCTCCATTAGTACACCATGTGGGTCAACATCCACATCCCTCCTCTGTCCTCCACAGCTCAGAACTGAGGCCTGGTTCTGTTGACCCAGTCAGATGGGTTTTGGACCCCTCCTCTGCATAGAATTAGACCCCCTAGTGGGGCTTGTTTCGCTCTTCCTCTTCTAAAACAAATCTTGATCACCCTCTTCATCAGCAAATCCCTCACTATGTGAGTCAGACTCTGCTTTTCTCCTTCATGATCCTCTCCTCTGTCTGAGAGGTTCTGACTCCACGGTTCTGTCCTCCTCAGTCCGCAGCTCCATCCTGCTCATGTTCAAAAATCGCCTCATTGGTTTAACTCAACCACATTAAAACTGACTAAACATACTCAACTACACCCTAACTATAAAACCCAAACACGCTAAATATCACAAATCTGTCAAACCTCAAACTCCCTCCCTCTCTCTCTGACTTTGTCGCGCCAAACTCCATTCCACTTGTGTCTTTTTCTTCTTTTTCATGTTGATTATTTTTGGCGCTTGACAAATAACTTCTAGGCCCTGTCAAAAAGGAGGGGAAGGGATGTTTTGTCCCCGGGACTGCCCGTTTTTGCTGCAGCCTCGTGCGTCCTCGCTCTAACGCGCTTCAGATATAACAATGATTGTCAGAAAAAGATGTAGCATGGATTATTGATCATAAACTCTGGTTTTACTTGGTCTATCAACACGATTTAAAAACTGTTGTGTAGTTTGAAGTCTGTACTTTTGACAAATTAAAATAGAGTCTCTGAGAGGCTGTGTCTTTCCCCCAGAGCGACTTAAATCAGTCATGTGACTATCACACGCCGGCACGTCGATTAACTCCAAAGGAAAAAACAAAGTCAGTGAGATTAGGCGGCGCCAGACACTTGAGTAGGCAACAAAGTCACCACCCGCCGCCTGTTATTAAGAAGGTAGCATGTATATTTACAGTGCATCCAGAAAGTTTTCACAGTCCTTCACTTTTCCACATTTGGTTATGTTATAGCCTTATTCCAAATTGTATTAAATTAGTCTCTTTCCTAAAAATTCCTCGCACAATACGCCATTATGACAATGTGAAAAACGATTATTTGAGATTTTGGCAAATTTATTAAAAATGGAAAACAAAGAAATGACATATGCATAAGTACATATTCAAAATTCCTGTGTTTTTTTTCCTGTTTTTACCTGCAGAAGTCGTAACCTTTCTGGTGGTTCTTCAAGACCTCGACACACCAAGAAGATCCACTTCATCAAAAACATGAAACAGTACGACACCCGAGGCAGCAGGTGAGTCTCAGACAAACTGCATCAGGAATATTATCTACAGTATCTCTGCAAAGTCCTTTTCCAAAATCATATCTCAGCCTGTTCTGTCTCACGTTTTTTGTTTTGTAATTAGATTTGATTGCTAGATATTTTGATAGATTTTATTGGATCGGAATGTGAGGACATTCGCGATAAGGTGTATTTTGTCACTTCCTGTTTTCTCTGTTTGTAGCTGGAGTCATTTGTTTGCTCAATTAATCTTTTGTTTTACTGGATTTTTCTATCTTGTGCAAAGTTCTATATTCTAGTACACAAACACCCTCGATACAGTTGTTTTTCTACTGTTGGACTGTGCTTAAGGCACCTTTTATCTTTCAACACTACACTGTTTTTTATCAGTGTATTTGAGATCTGCTAGTTTTGCTTGCGTTAGCTTGGGTCGAATGATCGAACGCCTAAAGCATTGTTGACCTTGTTGAATGGTAATGTACCACAGTGCTTTTAAGACTAAGCTTAAGCCTAGCTTTTTAATAATTTAATAGTCAATTTAATAGTCAATTGGTTGTACCCAAAATGCCCACACATCTACTCATTCTCATCATCACACTATCGATCTGGTTCTGACATATGGAATAGAGTGTAAGTACTTAGTAATACCTCCTCACAATCCTGTTCTGTCTGAGCATTTTTAATTAACATTTTTTTACATTAACTGACTACACAGCTACTGACAGTAAATTTCATTAGAGCAGGTGTTTATCAGAGAATGCTGTAACTACATTTAAAAAATCTCTTCCATTATTGTTTTCCTCTGTCTTGCAGACTAATTCATTCAACCTTTTATTTATACAAGTTAGTCTCATTGAGTCACGACGACTCATTTACAAGAGAGACCTGTAGAGAGAGACCTGTGAGAGCCCTCTAATACAATAGAGAGCAGTGACTTTGATTATCTTGTTTTTAATTTTACAACTTTGATGCAGACTTCACTTAATAAAATTGCTCTGGTGAAAAAGAAGTAATCAATCAGAGGAAGCTGTCTCCTTGGTTCAATTCTGAGTAACGTACTTTAAAATATCCTGATGCATGCTCAATAATCCTTTATACTAATAATCCTTTAATACTTTAAAATAGGCATCTAGAATGCTGGAAAGAAAATGGTACTCCACTAATGTGAAAGAATTGTATTTAACTGGAGAGATAGCCTGCTAACATATAAGAAAGAGCTCCATAAAGCTAGAACTGTATATTATTCATCTTTGATAGATGAGAATCAAAAATAACCCTAGGTTTCTATCCAGTACTATAGCTAGACTAATGAAAAGTCCCATCTCTGTTGACCCATGTATTCATAAAGCTATAAGCAGTGATGACTTCAAGAGATTCTTCATAAATAAAATTATATCAATTAGAGAGAAAATCCAAACCATCCTTCCTTCTATTGCTTCTGATTCCCTGTCAGATGAGGCAGCTTTAGAAATGTCACTAGAACCAGATTTTTTTGGACTGTTTTTGTCCTGTTGAGCTCTTTGAATTGTCAAAATAATAGCTTCATCCAAACCATCAACATGGCTGCTATATCCCATCCCAACCAGACTGTTTAAAGAGGAATTTCCCCAGTTGATGTCCACATTTTGTATCTGCTTAATTTGTCTTTAATGAAGGGTTATGTACTACTGCGCTTTGAGGTTGTTGTATTTGGGACTGTCTATGGCAGCCTCCTTTTATTATCCACCTGAAAAGGTCCTTATTCTTCCTTCAACTTTAATGCAGTCCAAACCACAATGTGCACCCCCACAAATGTTATATCAAAACGGCTGGCTTGGCACCGTGATGTGTGCTATTACATCTTTTTTGGCTTTTTGAGTTACCGTGGTGATATCATTTGCAAACAAAGATACCATTTTCTCATTGAAAAACACTGACAGAGCTCTTAACAGCCTCTAACTGCCACAGTGAGGTCACATGACCTAGAGTGAAGAGGTTTCTGAACAATGTATGTCATCAAATATGACATCTTTTATGATATGGTACCATACATATTATATATCAAAATGTAGGCATTTCTGTCATATTTCCTCCATTATTTCTGGTGTGGCTGTAGGAGTTTTGGTTAAATCAGACATTTTTAGAGATATTAAGGTGAAATTTGGTGTGATGGTAGCTGTGAGCAGTGCCCAATAAATACTGAATTGTAAAAAAAAAAAAAAAAAATCCAATATGGCCACCAAAGCACAATTTAAATGGCTTTAACTCAGTTATTTTTACACACACAGAGCTGAAATTTGGTGTGGTTATAGCTTAGAACGTTCCCTGTCACATACTGAATACAAATCAAAAATCCAAGGTGTCCACCAAAGCTTAAAAAAAATGACTATAAGTCATTGTTTTTGTTTGTTTGTTAGTTTGTTTGTTGCCTTGTTGAACTGAAATTTGGTATGGTGATAGCTGAGGGGGAACCCCAACACATAGTACTGTCAAATCAAAATTTTTAAATGGTTGCCACATGGCAGTCTCCATCAAAGTTTCTACAGAAACTTTCTTTGTAGTTAAACCTTTACTGTATGAAACCTGATCTTGCTTCAGGAATTTTAGCCAATTATAGACCTATATCAAATCTAATGTTCATCTCAAAATTTCTTGAGAAAATAGTAGCAAATCAATTGTGTGAACATCTGAACAGAAATAATCAGTTTGAGGAGTTTCAGTCAGGGTTCTCATCATAGCACAGAAACATCACTAGTGAAAATTACTAATGATATTCTCATGGCCTCTGATAATGGACTTGTGTCTACACTGGTCCTGTTAGGCCTCAGCACTGCATTTGATACAGTTGATCACAATATTCTACTACAGAGGTTTGAATATGATGCTGTTTTTGATATGCTTCCATTAGGGAAAGTTATTAACCAGCATGGGATATATTTTCATTACTATGCTGATGATGCCAAGTTATATTTATCCATGAAGCTCAATGACTCCAATCAATTACTTTGATTACAAGCATGTCCTAAAGACACAATATATGTATATAATACATATAGTAAATATATATAGTATATAATAAATAAATGACTCGGGTATAATGTTTTTCTTGTTTGTTTAACTGGATTCTTTTTATCTACTTTTAGGACTTGTGTGAAAATCTGATGATGTTTTAGGTAATATGTATACAGAAATAGTTGTTTTGTTTTTGTTTTGTCAATATTATTATGTTGTTGTTGTTATTATAACCTTCACCAAGGAGGTTAGCGTTGGTTTGTCTGTGCATACGATGTTACTGTGTAACAGTAATGTCTAGGCAGAGGTGTGCACTCTCTTACTGCTTCTAGTTATGATGATGAAGATGATGGTGTTTTTGTTGTTGTTGTTGATGCACAGCTCTTCTTTGGCTTTGATGTTTAAGTTTCTGAGATATTGGAGGCTGCTGTTTTTCAGACTGTCAGCCTGGCTGTGGACGAGCTGAGTTCTGGTCAGGCAGACACATTCTAACAAACCATGACTATGTTTGTTTCAGAATTGTGCTGATCTGTGCTAAGAGGTCTCTGTGTGCTGCGTTCTCTGTTCTACCGTACGGAGAGAGCTTTTACCTCAGGTAATCAAAACACACACACATATACATATTTAACTTCATCGAGTTGTAGATTCTCAATCATCAAGGATGTGACGATCGTAAGTGGGTCCATAGAAGGCAACTGGACTACAGTACTTCTCTTGATTCAAAAGGCCATTTCTCCTCTTATCCAAAAAGGCTTCTTCAGGTCTGATCACAGATTATGAGTTCCAAGCTTACAAGTTGTTGTTAAACCAATCACAATCTTCTTGTTCTTTCGGCCGTTCCCTTCTCACTCTGTCCTCACTCCAACTACCTCCATGTCCTCTAACTGCATCCATGTACAGTCTCTCCTCTTTGTCTTTTTGCTGGCAGCTGCATTTCTAACATCATTCTACCAATACCACTGTTCCTTCTCTGGGTCCTAATATATGAAATAGTGGGCCGCTTTTGTACTGAAAGTCGGCGTAGAAACAAAAGCAGAAAAAGTGTGTTGGTTCAGACATTCAGTAACCGTGCATGCAAATGTTCTGCCCTCCTTTCTTTCATACATCCCAACAAACTTAAAAACGGTGCACACATGAGACCCCTCCCCTGACACACTTTCATTTAAATATGTAAAAATAGATTTAATATGTCCTGCATGTGGAATTCTTGTCTCTGCAAAAATTATGTCTAGATGCAGGAAAATGAGGAATTTGATGCAAGGAGTGAGGTTCTCCCTCAAGTGGTGGAGTTCAAGTATCTTGGAGTCTTGTTCACGAGTGAGGGAAGAATGGAGCGTGAGACTAACAGATGGATTGGTGCAGCATCTGCAGTTTTGCGGACTCTGTGCCGATATGTTGTGGTGAAGAGAGAGCTGAGCTGTAAGGCAAAGCTCTCTGTTTACCAGTCGGTCTATGTTCCTACCCTCACCTATGGTCATGAGCTCTGGGTAGTGACAGAAAGAATGAGATTGCAGATACATGTGGTTGAAATGAGTTTCCTCCACAGGGTAGCTGGACTCTCCCTTAGAGACAGGGTGAGAAGTTCAGTTATCCGGGAGAGACTCAGAGTAGCACTGTTGCTCCTCCACATCGAGAGGTGGTTTGGGCATCTGGTAAGGATGCTTCCTAGGTGCCTCCCTAGGGAGGTGCTTTGGGCATGTCTGACTGGGAGGAGACTGCGGGGAAGGCCCAGGACATGCTGGAGAGACGACGTCTCTCGGTTGGCCTGGGAACACCTTGGAATCCTCCCAGAAGCGCTGAAAGAGGTGGTTGTGGAAAGAGATGTCTGGACCTCCCTGCTCAAGCTGCTGCCCCAGACACTCGACTTGAGAATCAGCAGAAGATGATGGATGGATGTAAGTCAGAGACGCTCTTAAATAAATAGTGGTATGTAAAAATGTGTTGGCCACACATGTGCAAAGAGGTGTGTGTGTGTGGGGGGGAACCATGAATACCCCCCCCCCTCCTTTACTGTGCACATGTTCACCAAACACAACACACACTTCCCACATGTTTATCTGGCAACCTTGATACCGAGCTCGGTTTCAGCATGATCACAGCTACATGTAAACTGGTGAATGTTCCTTCAGACCGAGGATGTTGTTGGTTTTCTCCTACATGCTGGAAAACGGTGAGTAGCACAAAAAACTGCTCTTTGCCATTCATTGTAACTGTTGTTGGAGCAGAAAATGGGGCCAAGATGGGGTAGAGATAGGGCAGCCGACTTGGGACCAGAAAGTCTTTGTTTGATTCCCAGCCATGCCCACATGTTGTAGTGTCTCTGAGCAAGACACCTAATCCCCAACTGCTCCCCGGGTGCTTACATAGCTGCCCACTGCTCCACCTGGGTGTATCTCACGTGTGATGGGTTAAATGCAGAGAACTAATTTATTCGTTGTATTGGAACATACAATGATGACATATTGCACATACACTTATACTTATAAGCCTTTGGAGTGCAGCCGCCTGTAGTAAGCATGTATTTCTTCACACTGTGTAGTAGTTCACACCTGTGCAGAGAGTTCCCCCAAAAACCTCCACTCTGAGACCAGGCTTCAGAAAGAACGAAGGCTGTTGTTGTGTACCTGAACGAACAAACGGCTGCAGAAAAGCTGTGGTTTCACTCAAAAAGCACATTGTGTCAACAGGCCCTGAGTTTCATATACAGTTTTAAAAGCATAAAACTCCACACTCCTGTTTAGAACTGTGAAACACCTTCAACTGCAGTACAGAAGTCCAGTTGTTATTTACCATGTCCAGGATGACTGAGAATCTACACCAGCATTTAGATTATAACCAAGTCATGCTTAAATTTCAGGCAGCAGCTGCATTGGCACCCTTCAACCTTTTATCAAATATGTTTGTTTTTGTTTGTTGTGTGTCCAGTGAGCCTGCATTAAACCACCCCAGGAGGAGACACTCTTCAGGAAACATCTCCACCACCCTAGAGATGCTGCCAGGCCTGGAGGGCTTCCAACTGAACACCTTTGGCAGGGTAGGTGTTCTCAACCAATTCACACTTGCGGTTTTACCAAAAACATGCATGTTAGGCTCCCTTCAGGCCCAGGCTTCCCTTGCAAAAGAGATCTATGATCTCAGTGGGATTTGCCTGGTTAAATAATGGTTAATAAATAAATAAATAAAATAAATTACATTTTATGTGGTTTTAATGTTCAGGTTCTGGTGGTTTATTTCCTTGTACTGTTGGTCTCTTTCAGTCTGTGTCGTATGCTCAGTTTCTGTATCCCACCAATGCTCTGGTGAGGCAGAAACCATGTTCTACTAGTGAACTGATGCTACAGATCCCAGTGTCCAGGAGTACACACAGCATGCTGGGCAGAAGTTATCCCTCCAGCCAACTGAACAGCACCATGGGCCTGGACCTAGGTAAAATGCACACACATGCACACACTTAAACTCCCAGTCAAAACCATGCAAAGTTGGATAAACGGTACTTATTCAGTCTGCAGGTTGGACTGCCAAAAGGACTGTTGGACCTTCAGGTGCCTTTTGTCAAACTCCAGACAGGCTGCCATGTGCATTTTATTGAGTGGCTTTCGTCTGGCCACTCTACCATACAGGCCTGATTGTGGATTGTTGCAGAGGTGATTGTCTTTCTGGAAGGTTCTCCTCTCTCCACAGAGGAACACTGGAGCTCTGACAGAGTGTCTTTGGAAACTGCACCCTTTTTGGGTTAAATTGTGTCCTTAACTCGCTCATTGTCCTACTGTCATGAATCTTGGAGTGGTTTTAAATGGTTCTTTTAATTTGAGAAGTGAGTATCTATTCTAGTCTATCTAACAATTACATCAGATTGCTAATGCAAAATCTTACATTTCTCCAAAAGGCCTCAAAACATGTAACCATACCTCCATCACCTCTAGTTTGGACTACTAGATATTGGCTTGGAGCAATCATCTTTTCATAGGTTGTCCAGAATGCTGCTTTTATGTTGTGGTATTTACTTGTTTATGGTTGCTTTTATTCAGTTTTATGGTACTTGTATTATTTATTATATTATTATTATTATTGTATTTATTTAATTAGTTCATGTTTTATTTCTTGTTTTCTTGTTTTTAAATGTGCTATAGAAATAACATTGGCACTGACTGTGTTCCTTGTACTTTTCTCATAGTTCTAAGTATCAGAATGAAAAATATTAAGTATATTGTTAATATTAATATAAAATGTTTTTATACTTGTATGCTATGCAAAGAGAAACTACCAGCTGCAGTCACTCATAGTCACTAACAGTAAGTTGATAGTCTTCGGTCTCTTGAACATTAAAGACCTTCTAGAACAGGGATGGGCAGCATTTTGTTCCAGAGGGCCAAATCGAGATATTTAGGCAATCAAAGTCCGTATAGAGAAGTGGAAAATACATTTTCTTTAAGACATATAATCTGGAAGACTAACAGGGTTTTCCTTATTGTAGAATAGTTAGCATTCTTGATAAAATATTTCTCATTGATACTCTTTAGGAATATAAGACATACTTTCTGTATACTGGCTCTTGTGACAACATATTTGTTAGCTTACATATAAAATGAAAAAGTTATACGTTTGCTTTCTGGAGTATTCAAGGTTCAGTCTAGCTGTGGAAACACACCACCTTAATTTTTTTTTTTTTTGCCTATCTTAATTCAAAGGTTTTTGATGCATTTGTCCAAGTTGTTTAACTTAGACCAAATTTTCATTGATAAAAAGCAGTTTACATCAACTTATTTAAAAGTTACTTTCATTTCAATTAAAGATTTTGGGGGCTGGATGGAGATTGTCCAAGGGCCACTTTTGGCTCCCGGCCCTTATGTTGTCCACATCTATACTAGAACACTACAACCACTTCACAGATTTTGGTGAATGTATGGATGTATTTGGGGTTGTATGTATACTGTAGTTATGACTCCAGGTGGATAAAAGAAAATCCCCCCCATAAATCATTAAAGTTTTATATTGTAGAATAATTCAACTCTGGAATAAAATTAATTTGACCTTTATGTCAATGATGAATGTATGTAAACATCTGAATGCAGCTGTCCAATCAACACGTGTTTCTGTTAAACTAACAGCACAGTGTCTGGGTCAGTTCATCTTTAATCCTGTTGATTTTTATGATATTTAGGTGTGGATGATGCTACAGACTATGACCCGAACCTCCTCAGTGACCCCCAGTGGCCTTGTGGGAAACATAAACGAGTGCTGATTTTTGCCTCCTACATGGTAAGAAAAGCAGTAGCTGCTGACTTCAATGTTCAAGCGTTGATTGGGTTTCAGGTTCTGGAAAGCAGCTGTGTCTTCACAATCCATCCACAGTTCTGAAGGCTGTTTGGCCTGTCCCAGCTCTGAAACAGTGGAGTCTGTGAATGTGGGCCAACTTGATGTAAATGTAGTTCCATTTTATCCCAGCTCTGCCTTGTGTGTAACTGGATTTATTTTGAAGAAGGATGTGTTGCCTAAGACAGTATCGGTGATTAAAAAAAATACTCCCAACAGGATACAGTTTAATCAATTGAATTTGTTTATAAAAAGACTGAAACTCTTAATTTTTCTGTCAATAAGAACTGTAAGTGTGGGTTAATGGCCAGTTGTTATTGCCTGCCACTGAAAAGCTGAGGAGCACAGTGTTGTTTTGCCTGTGCCTCTGCGTGACTGTGTGTGTGTGTCTGTTAGGAAAACTTCTTGTGAACCACTGGACAAACTAATTTGAATTCTTTGGAGTCAACCCAATTCAGTATAGCTGACTTAGCTAATCAACTCTAGCCATCACAAAACAGCTGTAACAGTCAGTTTGACAGATTTTGTGCTACAATGCGATTCAAGGTTCAAGGACTGTATCTTTATTGTTATTCGCATCACCTGTGGTACATGAGGTGGAACGAAAATGTGTACACAAGGTCCCAGTTACACCCAAAAATATAAAGTATAAAAGGAAATGGTATATTCATTCATTAATTCAACCTTTATTAAGGATGTAAGATATGCACTAAACAAAAGCTAAACGCTACAAGATCTAAGATATACGCTAAACACTAATAATGTGAAATAATAAAGTATATTAAGTGAACAGATGAGTATGAATGAATACAGCAACATGGGATAATCAGCAGCATGTGTAATTATCAGCTGTGCTGCTGAGAATCAGCAACACCTACTGTGAGAGAGACGCCTCACAGTTTCGCACGAGATTATGCATAACATTATTTTCAAGGTTTGACCAAAGCAGCTACAACTCTGTCATTTTTTTCCTCATAAAATGATCTTATCAGCTCAGTTTTAACACTGAGGCCTCAGGTGTCATATTGACCCACGGACAGCAGGAAGATTAAAGGACTGCTCGGCCTTTAATTCATTCATGACTTGCAGCTTGATAAACAGCCCTGACAATGTTCGTACGTTTCCCTTGCGCTCTGTGTTAACGCAGATCAGTCAGTCAGATCAGAACTCACTGCTCTGAGTCATCAGCAGCAGATCTTTTAAGCTCTTTAAGGCTTTGTGGCCTCTGGGTGTCAGATTAGCTCCTCCTCACCAGATTGTAGTTCAACACCACCCTGACCTCACACCTATGAGCAGCAGCTGACTACAACACAAACATCCTACATCTCTTCAGTAATTAAAGACCTGACATTTCTTGAAGGAATGCTACTTGCCCTCCCCATTTCATCCCAGAGTTTTAGACTGAGATAATCTTATGATTAATTCAATTCAATTCATAAATACTTTATTAATCCCAAAGGGAAATTCTTTGTTGTTGTAACTCATTATCCTCGTTTCATTAAGAGAAGTTATAGATACAAATGATGGTGTTAACATTGTTTTGGTCAAATCGTAAAAATTACATTAAAGTAGTCCCTCGATTATCGCAGGGGTTACGTTCCAGACGCCCCCGCGATAGGTGAAAAATCGCAAAGTAGGAACGCTTTATTTATTTTGGCGTTTAAATATCTTTTAAGGCTTTATAAACTCTTCCCACATGCTTGCAATATTCTTAACAATGTTCTAAACTTCTAAACCTATGTAATTTTAACAACATACATATATACAGTATATGTACTGTGCAGTACTGCAAAATTTTATATGGGTACTCCCCAGCTCTGGAGACCAGCAGCTCGGTTCCGGTCGGGCTCGGTTCTGGTTCTGCAGACCTACCCTGCAGCGACGAAGCCCGCCAGGTTGATGTGCGTGCGGATAATTGAGCTTCATGAAGCTTCAGGATTATTTGCGACTTTCCTGCCAATTCTGTGAGCTTCATAGATAAATCGTTATTTCTGACTTTGCGTTGCAAAACAACTCCTTCATTTCGGCAGACAGCATTGTCATGAAGAACTGTTGCCTTCTTGGAAGTGTAGTTCTTTTGACTGGCATTACAGTGTAGGCTAATTGAAAGAAAAGTACAAAATGGCGGCGCCTGTTCGAAGTATTTTTATTTATTTTTGTTAACTTTTATCCCGTACTGTCCTAATCACCTTAGTAATATTAAAGTTGACAGTCGTGTGTCGTGTACAATTTATGTTGAAAAAATGTGAAGGAGTGTGTCCGCGAAAGTCGAACTGCGAAGTAGCGAGGGGCTGCTGTAGTACAATAGTTCACAATATTGTAATATTAGTGCTCAGTGTGAGGATGGCTCTTGGCTATTACCACCAAGTCTTAGCAAACAAAAAAGTTATACATTTTTTTTAATTACAGCTATTGAGCTAAGATTGATTAGCTGTGGCAGCCATCTTGAATTGGGTAATCACTTGTAGATGTACATCCAGTGATTACCGTACTTTCTGAAGGTTTTCACACAATCTTTCCTGTATTTCTTGCAATTCTTCTTCTTCTTCTGGCTTCTCCCTCTTCAGGGGTCGCCACAGTGGGTATGTTTACATGGACATAAGTAACCGGATCAAATGGCCGGTCGGAATAAAAGTGTGTCATGTAAACACTCCGTTCGGGTTATTTTTTGTGTATTTGGCTCGATCCGATATAATTTGTGATCAGAACGAAACGGGTGGTTTACACCGATCCGAAACCCGATCGGTGCGCATATAAACGCTTGATCTGTTTGTTTTAATCTGATCGTGAAAAACTGACCTGACTGCGCATATGCGACTTTGCCATTTCCGCCTGGCTAACGCTAATAATATTAGCATGTCAGGGAAGCAAAACTGGTCGGTGAGCGACACAACATTTCTACTAGAAACTTTGAAAGAGCTCAAAATGATCTGTTTCACCTGTAGCTCAGTCAGGGAGTGCAGTAATGTCTCCACCGTCATTAAAACCTGTCGCGGGTCCATTTTGGGTGCTCAGGTTTGTTTACGTTCACCCGGAAGTAGAACTTCTTCTTCGGTGTTTTTTTTAAGGAGAGTTTACCACTCTGCGCATGTCAGTACTGCTGTTCAGAACAAAGCCCGCTGCATGTAAACGCTCATCGTGAACAGATTGTGCCCATGTAAACAATACATTTGAATTATTCAAACAGAACACATTTCAATCCGGTCAAAGAATTTTGCGCATGTAAACACAGCTTGTGAGTCATCCTCCTCCACCTCACTCAGTCCTCTGCATCCTTGTGGTCTTTGACTAACAGTAGCACAATTTCTGCTGGCACCCTGTATGTCAGCAGCACCGGTGGCGGTCATTGTTAGCCCAGGCCTCGACTGATCCGGTATGGTTTCCCTTTGATAAACTGGCATCATAGTTTTGGCAAAAGTGTTTTACGTCAGATGCCCTTCATGTCACAACCCTCACCATTTTTCCAAGCTTGGGACTGGCACAAGAAACACACTGGCTTGTTCTCCCTAGTAGCTGGTTTCTCAAGTGTGTTACAAAACTATAAATTAAACAAAAAGCACCATTCCCTGTTCATTGTTTAGTCAGTCACGTATGGTGAAGGCCTAATTAGTATTGACCACAGCTGCATTGTTTTTTTTTCTTTGCAGAGAAGTAATTTCAGACAAACAATACATTTCATTCAGGACGACAAAGATAACGTAACTTACACTGATATATTTTACCTCTGTATTAGATATATTGTTCTTGATAAGACAGCACAGTGGCACAGTTGGTAGAGCTGCCGCCTCTCAGCGAGCAGATCGCCCTGGTTCAAATCCTGGCCACAGGCCTTTCTGGGTGGAGTTTGCATGTTCTCTCCGTGCATGTGTGGGTTTTCTCCGAGTACTCCAGTTTCTTCCCACAGACCAAAAACATGCAAGTTAGTCTGATTAGTAACTAAATTGTCCCTGGGTGAGAATGAGAGTGTGTATGGTTGTTTGTCTCGTTTGTCTCTATGTGGAGAATTTATTTTTGTGGATTATTATTTTTTTTTTTTTAGATCAGTTTCAGTAAACTTACCATGCTCTTTTCAGCAAAATACCCTACACAATATTTAATTGCTCTCAGCTTTGGCTGTGCTGTGAGTGTGCAGCATGGCCTTGAATTGAAAGTAGTCCCCAGCCCTCTACTAGATACATTGTACAGTTACGCCATTCATAAGTAAGGACAAGGCTCATTCCCAGTATTTTAGGTATGACAGTTAGACGTGTTTTTAACAGTGCATAGTAGACCAATTATCACTGATACTGATATGTTCCCAAATGCCTATATTGGCCTAAAGTATCAGCCCTACTGATATATCGGTTGGGCTCTAATTCATAGTCACTTAAATTCTTATTCTTGTCAGTTCTGATGTTCAGTTTGAACTTCAGCAAGTGTATACATTCAGGCCATAACCCCACTTATTCAGCAGGGGTTCACTCTTGTGCAACATAAGCACCAACTGGAGCAAATAACAAGGACCAGAACCCTCACTGCAGCCTTCTCAATAACTTTTAGAGTAGGAGGCTAACGGCTCAGAGTAGGAGACTGGAGTCATTTCCCAACATCAACACAGATGTTCTGTGTGGTGAAAATGTTGATGAACGCAGACTGATCACTGATGAAAATGTCTTACCATCACAGGCATAGAAAGTAGGAAGGACCCCACTCACCCAGCACACACACTTTTTGCCCCTCTCCCCTCAGGAAGGAGGTTGAGGAGCATTAAGTGTAGAACCACTAGACTGAGGAACAGCTTCTACCCTGAGGCTGTTAGACTCATGAATCTCTAACCAGAATAATCACTGTGAAAAAAAATCACATCATGTTGCTGCTGATCTGTTTCATGTTGCTGCTGATCTGGTTCATGTTGCTGCTGATCTGTTTCATGTTGATGTGTTCATGCGTGCTCATCTGCTCACACAGACTCATGCTCACGTTCATGCTGCTGTTCGGCGTATTGTTTTTATGCTATTAGTGTTTAGTGTGTTTTTAGTTCATGTTTTTCTTGGTTCATATCTTAGATCTTATTACTGTTTTGCTTTTACATTTTATTGTTGGATGTAACTGGGACTCTGTGTACATAATTTCATTCCACCACATGTGGTGGATTGACAAATAAAGAAACTCTGACTCCATTAGTGCAAAATAACATTACATCTTGTATTTGTTACTGACAGCTGCATATTTGTTAAAAAGGCTAACTTTGTCTCAGACACATTGAATAATTGACTCAGTTTGCTTAGAGTTCAGACGGGTTTGGAACCAGTTGATAAAATCAGTTAGGACATCTTCTCTCAGTTCAAAATACGATCAGTTTCCTGATTATTGCCATAATGAGACGACATCAGACACTGTCTGTCTGATGTCGTCTCATTATGGCAATAATCAGGAAACTGATCGTATTTTGAACTGAGAGATGGTGTTCTAACTGATTTTGTGAAAGTGAGTTTGTTCCAGTGGACTCGTTGTTCTGACACTTTTTAGATAATTATTACTGTTAAATCTTGAAATCCTGAATTGCTTTGCCTCTTACATGTTTTCTTCCTGTTCTTCACCTTTAATCTTGCAGACGACAGTTATTGAGTATGTCAAGCCATCTGATCTGAAGAAAGACATGAACGAGACCTTCAGGGAGAAGTTTCCTCACATTACACTCACCCTCAGTAAAATACGCAGGTACGCTCTGTATCTGATCATTCAGACGCATCAAGTTGAAACTTGACCATTAAAAAGAGTGTGTTCCAGCTTGAAAAGAGAGATGACAACAGTCGGGGAGGATTGTGGCCTGCAGCCCGTCGCCATCGCCATGGCGTTTGTCTACTTTGAGAAGCTGGTACTCCAGGGTCGACTCAACAAACAGAACAGGTTAGTTCTAGTCTTTTTCACAATTATTATTGACTTTTTTCTACAGGCTGTAATCTGTGCTGATTAGAGTGGTCTGACATTCAGTCACAGTGTGACCAACAAGCAGCACTCTGTCTTCTCTTGCCGATCTATGTCTTGCAAATATCATTCATCTGTTTGTGCATGGTGTGGTGATGCAAACTTGAAAAATAAGTCCAGTACCGACCTCCATTTCAGTGTGTGGCTGCATCTTGGAGTAAGAAAGATTCCCTTTGAAAGTAGAGTAGCCGCTTCAAAATTCAATATGGCTGCCACCATATATTTGTAAACTATATACATATATGCATATAAATTGCTCTAACCACTCAGCCACAGCCCCAAATTTTTACATTTTAATACATTTATTTATTTATCTTGTTTCTTTTTTATCCAGCTGCTTTTGAACCTAACGTGTGGTGTAGCAGTGGATGCCCTTGTATTTTTGTAGTTATTGAAGATTTAGTCACAGGAGAAACAAATGATGACATAAGTGACATTTCCTAATTTCATCTTTGTTTCGCTGATCGTCTCCGTTATTGATAATGTCCACAAAACTGTTTGTTGTCTTACAAAACCTAAAACAACTACACTATTTTTGCAATTGTTAAAAGTTTTAAAACTTCATCTGAATTTTCTGGACCTCATTTGTTTTCCAACACGGCTGTAAAAACCAACCAACAACCGTTATTGTTTTACAGGAAGTTGGTGTCAGCTGCCTGTATCCTGTTAGCTGCTAAAATAAGCAGTGACTTGAAGAAACTGGAGGTTAAACAACTTATTGATGTGAGTCTCACTCTCTCTCTCACACACACTCACACACTCAGCGTCACCTGTTGGTTACCTCTGCCTGACAGATTATGTTCTCAGGTTTTTTTTACGATTTTTTGACCCACTCGGGGAAATTTCCTGCAATTACTGAATAAACCTGATCACACAGCAGAAACCAGTGTCTGTTAATACCAGAACCCACATTGATCTGCGTTAGACCATAATCTTATTCCCTTAATAATAATATTCCCTTATTCCCTGTAAAGCTCATTAATTAAGCTGTGTTATTGCGTTCAATCAGAATAATCAAGTGTACAATGTTGATGTTAAACTTTGATTCTGTTAATTAATGACCACATTCATTTTGATGGGTCAAAGAAAATTAACGTCTCATGTCACTGGTTTTTAGACCATCTCCCACACAGTATCTCTGTCACATATCTGTCAAGTAACTCGAAAAAGAGAGAACCCGTCGTTAAATATTGATTGTAGTGGAGCTAACTGAAGCTAACCGACCCTAGCTTACTACATTTCTTAACAATCATGTAAACATGATTGTTAAATCATGTTTCTTCCAACTGAGGCAGCTGTCTAAACTGAAGCCCATATTGTCCAAAAATAACCTGGAGACAGTAATACATGCATTCATTACATCTAGGCTTGATTACTGCAATTCACTCCTGTTTGGTATCAGTCAGACCTCCATTGCACGACTACAACTGGTCCAGAATGCAGCAGCCTGATTTTTAACCAGTACAGGCAAAAGAGAGCACATTACTCCAGTTTTGGCCTCACTGCACTGGTTACCGGTTCACTTTCGAATCCAGTTCAAAATACTCCTGTATGTCTACAAATCACTGAACAGTCCCCCCCCCCCCCCCCCCCCATATCTCTCTGATCTGATACAACCGTATGTCCCACCATGTTCCCTGAGGTCAGCGGAGACCAGTTGCTCCTCACAGTTCCAGGAACTCGTCTTAAGTGCAGAGGTGACGGGACCTTCTCTGTAGCAGGACCAAGACTTTGGAACGAGTTACCTCTGCTTGTCAGACAGGCCCCCTCCCTCTCGGTTTTCAAATCCCGTTTAAAAACCCACTACTATTCAGTAGCTTTCAACACCAGATGATCTGTGTTTTGATCCTGTATGCTCCACACTGGTTAGTCATCATATTTATTATCTGCATTGTTTTTATGTCTATATTCTGATTTACCTCATTTTGTATTTTGCTTTGTGTGTTGCCTGTTGTTCTGTCTGTACAGCACTTTGGTTGGCCTTGTCGCTGTTTTAAGTGCTCTATAAATAAAATAGTATGGTATGGTATAACCTGAACCCCTCACTCACTGCTCTTTGAATTGAGAAAACTCCTCGGATGAGGAGCGAAACGTCTTCTGTTACAAATAAAGTTCAGTTGTTTTTGTATTGAACATTTTTTGAATAGTAGCTGGAATGATCCCCAACACAAACTGAGCACTAAAATGTTGCCCCTTTGTCTGTCTGTTGGCAAAATATCTCATAAACCACTGGACTAAATTTAAGGCAACTTTCAGGAACATTTGTCAACATCAGATGATCTTAGTGTAAAAGGCGGCGGGTGATATGCATTCCTTCATGGAATGCGCAAACTTCAGTTTATATAATTCCTTACAAGCAGTTCAGGTCCAGAACTGTGAGTCTTGATCAGAACGTTTGTTGTGTTTCTGCAGAAACTGGAGGAGCGTTTCCGGATCAGCAGGAAGGAGCTCATATCCTTTGAGTTCATCATTCTAGTCGCTCTGGAGATGGCGCTCTACCTCCCTGAGAGTAAGGTCCTGCCCCATTACAGACGGCTGGTGCAGCAGCAGCAGGTGTAGCTGGTCCACCTCCATGGTCCTCATGCCTAACCTGAGCTCAGCAGAGCCTCTGCTGCCTGGCTCAAGGGAGCAGCGGCACAGAGAGACAGGACACCAAAGTGACGACACACTGTGAGCAACAGGACTCATCTGTCCCTCGAGTAAAACCTGATGGACTCTGAGCCCGTCAGTCTGCAGCTGTTACTGCTGGGTTGATAGAAAACCAATCCTTTTTTACTTATTATTATTATTATTGTTAATATTGATATTTGACAATCAATTCACTGCTCCTAAAACCTTCAGAATAACAACAGAGCTCCACGGCAGCTGGTCTAATTTATGGCAGAGGAGGGTTTGAGATTAAAGTTGAAATATTCCAAGAATAAAAGCTAAAAATGGCAGAAATGAAGTAACAGAGCATAAAAGAGAATTTAACCCTAAACTTCTAAAGCTTTCTAATAGCCAGTTGTTTATACTTTCTACTTCCCTACAGTTTCAGTAAAAATAAAAAAATACCACTGACTGGAGTTGGAGACAACCTGTAAATAACTTCTCAAAGATCCCAGCAGTCTAGGCCGCAGGACGAGTTTTACTGAAAAACAAGTCATAATACTTCAAATGCTTCGAAACATCTGAGTATTTTCAGGTCCACAGTACATGACTCTTCTTGTGAAGGTCAGAGAATTTTGTGGAAGTTATCTCCTGTGGCAATATAAAACTGTACCTCACATCAGTAAGGTTCAGCTTTGAGTTCTGTAGTTTACCCATTAAAAGCCTGAAACCCTCGACTTCACTACAAGTAAAAAGAACAAATATTGTTCACGTCACCAGGCAAAGTCTGGAAACACTTTAATTTCTGAACTGTGAAACAATAAGAGAAGATATTGTTTCTTTCGACTTTAAAGCCAGGATCTCATTGGGCTAAGTTGTGGCATGGGAGAGGTGCAGGTTTAATTCCACCAGCAGTCACATGTTGAAGTGTCCCTGGGCAAGACACTGAACCTCTCATTGTCTTTGATTTTTTTTTTTCATGTACCCTTTATTTATCCAGGTAGTCTCATTGAGCCACGAGAATTCATTTTCAAGAGAGACCTGTTTAGGGAGCAGATGGGGGTTAAGGGCCTTGCTCATGGGTCCAAAGTAGGGCGAATGAGGGTGGGAGCAGGTGTGGGTGCTTCACCTACCCTACTCACATTTTTGATGTTGTCTGTACTGGGGCTTGAGCCGGCAATTTTCCGATCACAGACCCACCTTCTCTAACCTCTGCGCCACCACTCCCCCTATGATGGTGTCCCAGTGGTGTATGAATGTGATCTAAAGCTCTGGTTAGTCTCTTTAGAATGATTTGTTCAATTGGCGCTGTAGAGGTCTAGCAGGGTGCTGTATGTAGGTGTGTGGATGAGTAGAGGAGGGCACAGATTGTATTGTTCAAGTTCAAGTCAATTTTATTGTCGCTTCCACCACATGTGGTACATGAGGTGGAACAAAATTATGTACACAGGGTCCCAGTTACACCCAAAAGTAGCAAAATACAAGTATAAAAAGAAACAAGGTTTGAAGGCTCAATCATCCTGGTACAACAAAAAAGGTTGAATCATTTCATCTGGACCAGTTTCCACTCATCCAGATGAAATAATTCAACCTTTTTTGTTATAAAAAGAAACAGTAAATAAGGATCTAAGATATACGCTAAACAAATGCCAAACGGTATGCTAAAAGATTTAAGATATATGGTAAACACTAATAATGTAAAATAATATGGTGTAACAACAGCAGCTCGAGGCCCTGTGATGGACTTGCGACCCGTCCAGGGTGTACCCCGCCCCTCGCACAGTGATTGCTGGACATGGGCACCAGCGACCCCCGTGACCCAAAATGGAATAAGCGGGTAAAGATAATGGATGGATGGATGAATGGAACAGCAGCTCGAACATGAGTTTGTGGTGAGCAGACTAAAGCACAAAGAAGTGGGGGGCATTATGGGTGAAGGACAGTTTTGATAGGCAAGGCGCTCGGTTCTGTTGACAGGGCAGAGTGCCCTCCTTGGATAATGGTAGGGGAAACACTGCCCAGGGTATACTCTGGCCTGGGCCAAACTACCAAATTTAATCTGGGCAAAGGTTAATCTGGCCTGTTGCACCTTCTTGCTGAGAAGCAACAGCTCTATCAACTGCGCCAACATGATATGCTCAAAAATCATATGCAACAAATTTTCATTCAAAATCCTCAAAGTTGTCGCCAACATTTCTGCTACGTCTGAAAAACTGACTTCTGGGGCGGCATATAGTCCAGATTAGTCGGTTGTCACATATAACTATCACAGCACTATCATCAGACATTCTGCTTCTCATCTGAGGAGAGTTCTCAGTTCAAAGCTTCTGTGTGTGAAATTGTAAACTTTTTACCAGACATGAAAATGTGTCAGTGGGCTGACCTTATGTCTTTCTGTCTAGCTAGGATACTAAAAGTGCGCTGGTGAAGATCCTCAGTCATCCAGGACATGGTCAATTCAAAAAAGTTCAAGACAAAAACAACTGGACTTTATTTGCAACGTTGTTGCGCTTCTCATCCGAGGAGCTTTCCCAGTTCAAAGAACAGAGGGTGTGGGGTTCGAGTTATAAAGTTGAGGTAAGCTAGATATAGCAATAAACTAGATATAGCTATAAACTAGATATAGCAATAAACTAAATATAGCAATAAACTAGATATAGCAATAAACTAAATATAGCAATAAACTAGATATAGCAATAAACTAAATATAGCAATAAACTAGATATAGCTATAAACTAAATATAGCAATAAA